TTATATATATATATATATATATATATATATATATATATATATATATATATATATATATATATATATATATATATATATATATATATATATATATATATATATATATATATATAAATATGTCATGGCTTCCTCCTCTATAAGCAAAATTAATACCTTCATTAATCCGAGAAAACCAGACGATTTTGGCACCATTTCATTTTTCGTAATTTGTTCCAACTTTAATAGGACGGCATCAAGATTATTCGACGCACAGAAACCAAACGCCATGGCACATCCCTGCAATATTAATTACGTTCACTTGATGCATTCACCGAATACACTCAATTCTAACCCATCAACAGGTACTATCCAATATACTAGAGTATACTTTTATTTAAAACTTCTTTAACCGTGATAACACCTATAAGTATGCTTACAAAATATTTAGAGAATCGCTGAGAATATAAGTTAATCGGACCCTCTACACGCATGGTCACCAATAATGCTTATAGACTTCAGTGAAGGATTCAGAGGACAAATAATGAAGTTTCTGGCAGGAGGACAAATTGCTGCAAATATAGGTGGGACTAAATCCTATTCCACTCTACAAAGAGGTGTAAACGTAACTGAATCCATGTCAAACAAGAGTTTAGATCTAACATGCTGACCATAAAACAACTGGACGGCAAGTAGGCTGGCTAAAACCGTGCGGTAGGTTAACTTCCTCACATTTGGTCTCGTCATATGACATATGTTACCCTTTTGGGCTGAGCCTCTCGTGTTAAAAATGTCATGCCGGATAGGGGGGGGGCAATATTTTTGAAATGATGCGGTAAAGATGTTAGTAAGCTGCATTTGAATTTCCTCTGTGTTGGTGTAATGTACTCAGGTAAATATGACGCTTGTGATGCCACCCCGAGTGTATATCCACACCGGAAAAGCTTGAAAAATATGCCTGGTCACGGTGAGAATCGAACCTACGACCTTTCGAATACTAGCCCAATGCTCTTCCAACTGAGCCATGCCTTCCTTCGATACCGATGTAATCTAGTAATCATGAATTTCCTCTGTGTTGGTGTAATGTACTCAGGTGAATATGATGCTTGTGATGCCACCCCGAGTGTATACTACCATGTTCATATTATTAGGTCATGTATTAGAACCAAAAATAAATACTGGCACTTTCCACGTTTATCATGTTGCACCCTCCACGCCTTGTCACACCGCCCCCCTTTGAGAGTCCCTCCACCGTGTCATCGTTTCAGTTCTACCCATGCCACCTTTAAAGGTAACCACATACCCCGATGTAAAAAACAAACCTCTTTCTCGTCGGTATCAGAATGTTTCGTGGACGAAAATATAACAGAAAGCTGACTCTGAATGAAATCTTTTTTTGTGACAACTTTCATCACAACACCCACACATTTGTAAAGAAAATTCTGAAAAAAAGAACTAGCTTCTAAGTGCATGAGAAATTTGCAAAATTGCGAAAATTCAAACACAGCCAGCCACATAACATAGCCACAATAAAATTGACATGAAATAATTTTTGTACTAGAATATTTTGTATTCTGTGTAAAACAAAATTATGAACGGTACACTTAAGGATTGTCTTTAAAATACCAAATATAATTCCTTAAGTGTACCTTTCTTTATTTTACTTTACAGAGAAGACCAAATATGCTAGTACAAAAATCAACCGTGCAGAAACTGATCGTTTTTTTGCACATTCATGAAACGATTGAATATACATACATATATATATATATATATATATATATATATATATATATATATATATATATATATATATATATATATATATATATATATATATATATATATATATATACCCTAGCTGTAGTTTAAAAAAATACCACAATTAAGACATCTCGCCCATGAAGAAACTGTCTAACCGACCTTATCTTCAGACTGATTGGTATATAGCCGTATTTGATTTCCTAACTCTAATCCAACTGCTATACTCCATTCCTCGTCCTCCACCTCGTCCAGTGTTTTGGAGAAAAACTAAATAGATGGAAATAACATTGAACTTGAGTATACGTGAACCATTAAGTATTTTTTTAAACTGTACTATAGCCTTTGATCTAGTAACATTTCAACATTTCCACCGAATTTTCGTAGAAATAGTGGGGGAGGTGGAAACATATTTAGGGGCAGCAGTCTAGCTCACGACCGCCATGGAAAGTTAGGGCTTAGAATGGGCAGAAGTCAAGGACGTGACCTATTATACATATGTACCAGTGTATTAATGAATTAGTACAACTAACCCAATTTTGCCCTTCATTGTAATTACTACAAAGTTTCTTTCAAAACTTTGCTTTAAGAGGGTACTTGACACAAAGAAGAATGGCTATCACTGTTTCAATTATACAGAAAAACTTTCTTACGAAGTGTAGACCCTAAGCAACCAAAAATGTCGAGTTTTCACTTTGATCTATCATTGAAACTTTCCCAAGGGGAGGTGCATGACTTTTCAGGGGAGGTGTATAATGGATTGTGAGGTACAGCATTTACACTTACACACTGTGGGGCGAAATTAGCTTTTGTTTCAAGTTGGTCATTTTTGCTGCGCAGGTTGCTTATTAAACTTTATTCTGATGATATGTTCACCTTAAGTAATAGATTTTCCCAAGATTTCTGATTCCATTCCTCTTCATTTTCTTTATTTTCTGCAATAATTACAACTTTTATGGACTAACTCGATTTATTATATACATGACAAAATTACTGCAATCTGATTGATTAAGAGGAGTGCAATTATTTCATTAATGGCACTCTCCGGAAGTGCAATTAATGATCTTCGTGATGGCTGGGGGGAGCGGGAAATCAAAACAACAAAAATCCAATATGGCGGCAAAATTTGTCTTACAAACGTGGACGAATTTAACTACATTTTGGCACCAGAATGAGTTTAAAAAAGCATAGTATGACAAAAAGACCGTGTGGAGACGGTTTCGCATAGTATTCTATATATGACAACGTTTTCCACAGAGAGGAACGCGCGAAACTGCTTTCATACTCTCTCACCTTCAACATATTGCACCAATTTTGGTATGACAGTGTCCCAAAGTTCCTCAATTTCAGGGTGCAGGATTGGTGATAATAACTTTAGGAGACCAAGAACATGTGTTCCTCTTTCTTTCCCAGCCAACGGATGTCCCCCTAAAACCTGCGAACATTGAATATATTAAATACAATTAATGCAACTTTACCAAATTAACCAAATTAAGTCCAATGACCCATATAGACGCAAGAACACATCGACCAAGAGACGAAAGATGTTTGAAAAATACAGGTCCCCAAAACACTTTCCTTTAGTGTCACCTGCATACAAGATGCCGTCAATAACACTGGATTTTTTTTCAAAATCCTTACTAGTGGATTTGCCCATACTACTATTTCAATCATTTTTACTTCCCGTTACCTCGAACTCATGCAGTTAACTCGAATTCCGAACTATCTCAAACAAATTTTGCTAATCCCTTGACCGAAAGTATTGCGAACTCTAATTTAATGAACTCAGTTAATTCCTCTCGCCTGAATAAAAACGTAATAAAAACATTCAGGAATGCGACTACATTCCTAAGCCTATTACTGTTGAAATATCAACCTATTGATATGTAGCTAATTCAAGACCATCAGATGTCGCCATCTCCAAATCAGGGAGGTTCAGATTTGACTACCACTATCACCTCCGCTACCTCTCGCCGGGTTAATACGCATTTGATTGGTTACTCGGATAGATTAAACTCATTTGATTGGTTAATGGTATAGCGGTAATCAAAATATGTACCTTTTCATTGTCGATTTCACGACGGCATAGGAAAGTAGTCGCAATCTGAGGACACTTTTTTTCGGCGATAGGAAGGATCTGGGATTCTGGTAATATTTGAGCCTTATTTTCATAAAATCAGGCAAAACGAAGTACAACTTTCTTTTATACAAAACCAATTCTTGACTACGCTATGAATACTCAGGGACATTGCCATTTTTCTGTGCAATATACGTTCGTGTAGAAAAAATTATATTGCATACATACCAGTAATCTTGCCAAAATGGGTACAGGTTTTGGTAAATTCACTGAAATACAAATATCCACGATTTAGACCTGATAAGTCGCCGCGAAAATGGCTGCCAAAAAATAATTTTGTACATTTATCATTCCTCTGGCAGGAATTGAGCCTGCGGCCCTGGGATTCCGGGTGTAGCGCTCTAGCCAACTGAGTGACAAGTCCAGTTGTCGAGCTCTAACCCAGACGGCCTAAAGTTGCATTTTTCGCAACTGCTCCCTGGTTACAGTGCTGCTCAGAAGTAACCTAATGCTGCGAACGCGCTTCGAGAACGCGTTCGGAACACCTTCCTGAACGCGTTCGGAACACCTTCGAGAACGCGTTCGGAACACCTTCCTGAACGCGTTCGGAACACCTTCGAGAACGCGTTCGGAACACCTTCCTGAACGCGTTCGGAACGCGTTCTTGAATGCGTTCTGAAACTCGTGTTATATCTCTTTGAAGCTTCGAGTCTCTTCGGAAAATTCCGAATACTATAAATGACAACACAGTCAACCAAAATTCGTCTAGCTCGTATTATCCGACCAATTCAAACGCCCAAGAAAAGGAGATATATTTGGTCTTGAACAAACATGGCAAAATAACAAGTTGAAAATCTAATTCAAAGTTTAATGCGGTAGTAGCATGCAGTTATCTTTTAAAGTACAGTAAGTTCTATTCATACCATACAATATTCATGCAGTCACTTCTGTTCATAGGATAGTTCATAGGATTTTGCGAAAAGAAAAATTTTGAAAATCATAGACATAGTCATAGTAAGAATCAATCACAGTGAATGGCTAGTAATAAATGTACAAAAATTCCACTCGAAATTCTCATTTACAAAACCCTTCAAGTTAGGTTATATTGAGTGAGATGGCCAAAGTCGTGATATTTGACTACAACGTTAACATACCAAGTTCCACGAAATCGATGGTGAAATTCTCGGAATCACGTTCTCGTTGTTTTCCTGCCAAATAACACAAGTTTTGACACAAGGCACAGATGGCGTTTGTGTATTCATCTTGCACCAGAAACTCCAGTAAGTACGGCCATAGCACCTAGATAGAATAGAAAATAATGTTAATATTAATCTTAAAAAGACATTACTCGATTAACCGACAGAAAGCCAGCACTCTCCCAATGACGAATAAAATAACCTGGCGTTAGATAGCCTGCGAACAGGCTCTCAAGCTGAATTGAGAGCCTGCATCGATGACTAATGAATTTGAATATCTGCCCCGTAACGTTCGTTTTTCCAAATATGGAATGTCTATCCTTATATGGTGTTGTCTACAACTTTCGTGCAAACTAAATTTAGACCGTGCAAACTAAATTTAGACCGTACAGTTTATACTGTTTTTCGAAATACAAGATATTCAAGCAAAAGTTCAAATGTTTTAAATACTGTTTTCTTAAAACAGAACATTTTGTGCTTTGAGACCAATTTGAGCCAGGTAATGTGTTTTTTATGCATAGTTCAGCAGTTGACATATATAGAGCTCAGCGGAAATATATAAATTATAGCATCTGACCAATGAGAATTTCGCGTCACGATTTGAGACGCAGATATTCAAATTCACTAGTCATCGATGCAGGCTCTCAATTCAGCTTGAGAGCCTGTTCGCAGGCTAGGCGTTAGATAGAGCATACGGACAACAAACATACAGTACGAACACAGCCATATGAACACAGAAATATTTCATTCCACTTAAGTACCAGCAGGGTTCGTACAGGTCATGCAGGAAAAGTGAAATTCAAGGATCGTTTAACTTAAAGATTTTCACGGCCATGTATCACGAATACCAAAACTAAATGGCTGAAATGAGAGCGTTGGAAATCAGTAAAAAGCGACAATAAAATGTTCCAATTTTGAAGAATTTCAATCAGCTTTGTTTAAAACATGCATGAACAAAATCAGTCCAGCAAAATGTCGGTATTTTAATATTACAGGCACAAAATATAGTAAACCGACAAATTTAAGAAAGGAAAACAAATTTAAGAACTCTCAATGAAACACTTCTTCATGAACTTCAAAGCTTTGATTTTTTGTTTTCAAATTAAAGTACTTTCAAAAGCGTATGGAATTTTACCTACACCGGACCAGACCGGACCCCAATTACTGTATGTAGGCCTACGTTGTATAATTCAAATAAAAATGAAGCCACTTCTCAATTAGGAAGAAGACGTTGACCTTTGTGAAGAAACACTTGTCAATTTTTGTCGTACAATATGGATGAGCAAATAAAATCGTCAAGCAAGGGAAAATGTCAAAGAAACTAGTTGACCGTATCGCAAATGAATCAACTTATCAAGGAAGCAATGCCAAGAAAACATTGATATCTATTCAGAAAAATTATCGACCGTATGGCGTAACATGATCAAGTAAACTTGAAGACGAAATCTTTCAGCGCAGTCACCTCATGTATAAAGAAGCTTAAACAATCGTAGGCTTTGCGGGTTTTTAGTACACGAATAGGTTTCGGGATTTTAATCCAAAACATCGAATGTTATATGTTCGCAAAAGCTATGAGGTTTTATATAGCTGTCATAAAAGAGCCCGATTTTGACAGCAGGTATACTGGTATTGAAATCCGCCAAGAATGAGAACAAAGATGTACATGCAACTTTTATCGCATGTATAAACAATAACAACTACGAAATCTCAAATATCAAATAAATATCGCGGGTAATAATCTTCAACTTTTTGTAATCATTAAACACCGATTGTAGTAAAGTTAACCAAGAATAGTGCGTCTTGTACAGTACAACAAAGCGAAGAAAGGTTATAAAGGGGGAAATCAATGTTATCAAAGCGGAATACAGTAGCAATTCAAAGACGACAGATTGGTTTGAGTCAAATTCACTTTATATTCAACACATACAGTATTAGCTCCACGTGAAACTAGTATACAAATCTCACGGATTGTAAACACCCAGAATTTTATTTACAAGTGAAGGCCCAATACAATGGCCTGGATGTGTACGGAAATATAATCTGGACTGATCAGAGGAATAGCTGCAGTAAGGGAAAACATATATCTCTTTGTGCTATTATTGTTAATCGAGCCACACGTCGAAACATCGAGTGTCGAAGAACTATATAGATTGGACAGAAGGCATTGTATTTTGCAGGGATAGTATAGTGAACTTTTTGCCTTTGGTTTTAGATGCTGTTAAATTTCGGGAATGCGCTGGAAATGTCTGTTCGTTTTCAAAAACACTTGTAATCTGAAGGCATCAACGCTGTGGTTTTTGGCTGTAATATTTGCTAGCATTGTATTTCTGTGTACGCTGTCGATATCACTGTTTCTGCCCGTATGTGTGTTCGACGCGGCAATCAGGGAACAAGCCGGCTTTAACATTGATATGCTGGACGACCCTCATATATCGCAATCCCCTCGTCCCCGACGGCAAGACGCACTAGTCGAAAAACTACGAAATAACGTTAGCAAGTTATCGCGGGAGCTCCGCCAACTTCGAGCGACCCTACGCATTTACGAAAAGTTGGGAAAAGTCATGGAAAAGGACTCAACTTTGGCGACGTTTGGAAGCAAGCGACATCAGAATGTGTTGGTAACATCTGTTCCTCATTCGGGAGAGCTGTTACTTGGGGAATTGTTCAACCAACACCACAGTGTGTTTTATTTATTTGAGCCTTTTCACTCTCTCAAGTATTACAGAGAAAACAGACCTCCTGAAGTCTACACGTCTATGCTAAGAAGCTTTCTAGAAGGTATATTCAATTGTGATTTCAGACACTTCAATTTTTATACAAATTTTTTATCTCGACATTACAGAGCCTTAGTCCACCGGCTTGCAAGCCGCGCGCTCTCATCCCCACCGCTTTGCCCCGAGGTGATTTACGGCCGTTCGTACAACATCAGATATTGCACCCACCTACGACCACCTACACTGAACGCGATTTGTAAACTACACGACTATACGGTGGTTAAAACCACACAATTAGTTGATCTGGAAAAACTAAGTCACCTAGACGTCGGTACGCACAATCCGTTTCGTGTCGTGGAGTTGGTGCGAGATCCACGCGCGGTTTTACACGCGCAGTTACACGAAAGTGGCAATGTATCAGAATCGTGGGTAGCCAGCGAAGCACGGAAAATTTGTACCCAACAATTACGAAATAGACAACACCTGGAAAATTCTGAGATCAATCAGAACAACCGTCATATTATGATTAAATACGAAGACCTTATTTCCGCACCGTCAGAAATTTTTGAAGATCTTTGTAGTTTTTTAGGATTATCGCATAGCAGGCATGCAAGTTCCTGGTTTAATGGGGTTCTTAAAGACGGTTTCGCATGGCCGATGATGGCCAAGGACGAAGTAACGGGGGATAGCGGCAGAAGGAAGTTAAATTTGACCCGAAGCATTTCAGAGTGGCAAAGTAGTCTGGACTTGTGGCAAATACGTTCGATCGAACGGGAATGTTTTGCTGTGATGAAAGTACTTGGTTATGATTTACACAATTAAATGTTAAGATCGATCTATTGAAGTCTAAGCTTTCCAATCAATGATCGCAGTACGCAGGAATTGTACAGGCTGTATGTGCGATTCCAGCCAGAGGGCCTATATATAGTTGCATTTTTCGCAGCTGCCCTTGGTTAGGTATCAAATTTACACTCCAAATTTCCATTAAATTAAACTGGCAAATTACTAATGTCCATCAAAAATATTATCTTAGAGATGAATTTTGACACTGCGAGTATTATACAATTGATCCAGCAGAGAGAACCAATGTGACGATTCTTTAAAATAAACGGTCATCATGCAAACCTGTCTATTGTTAACACAACTGACGCGTAATTTCAACAGCCATAATATTGTTGTTTTTTTTCTAATCTAGACCAATTTTAACAATCATACTGTCATCTAGATTTATTAAGGTCTAGTTGTTTAGTTGCGTAAAATCTAGAACACAGCCATCGTAAAATTTCTGGGGGTCACCCTGGGTATTCTCCGGTGTCTTAGTGATGTCATAATGTAGATTTACACCAAGTTGGTGTCCACACAGTTGCATCTATTAACACTGTAAGGGTGCACAATGACACCAAATTCAGTGTAAGTTAACACCAAATTGGTGTCCATACAGAGGCAAGAATGTACACCGATTTTGGTGTTGAGGTAACACTCCCAGATTTACAGTGATATATTGAATCTACAGACGATATTCTGTGATCAGAGTATAATGTTATCAAACTTTCTTTTGAACTAAATTGTATATTAAACAGGGGTTTACGCGGTGATACAATCTGATCAAAGAAACACACCTCCTGTAGTTTTAATATATAAGCTGATTAATATTCTTTCATTCGACGCTGTCACGCTGACAGACAAACGCGTGCACAAAATACAGATACTAAAACAAATCACTTACACTTTCCATTTTCTCGATCGTAGTTGTGATAAGCCGCAAAATATTCTCACACATGGATTGAATGGATTTCAATGAAGGACTGTCACCCTCAGAGGATTTCTTGGGCTTCTATAATTATATTATTCATAAAATTTATGGTACGCGAGTGTTCATTGGTCGAGAAGCCTGTTCCTACAACTGTAGGGAAACATGGAAAATTTCCCGTGTAACAAGCGCTGTAATCGAAAAAAAGTGTGATAATATTAGTTCTGACAACCAAATTAATTAAGGAAACACAAGACAAAAAGTGAATCTCAGTTTAAATAAAAATGAATCTTGACTATTTTATAATCACATTGACGACCAAAAATTGGGCAACCGATCGAGTAGGTTTCATGAGCTGTCTTATAGAAACACATGTGGTAGTGTGGGAAAACTCGAAGTCATATTTCAAATTCGACTATGAGGATTGCACTAGATTTCAAGTCAATTTGATCAAGATGCGAGGACTCGAAATCTATAGTCCAGTCTGAATTGGAGGATTTGAAATGACATCTCATACGTATAAATCACTACTTAAAGTGAGGTGAATTTATTTTGATCCCCCAATTAATTTTGATACAGCCCTAGGACTACATCGATATACTTCACCAGGTACCTAGTACACGCTATGAAACTATGGAAACTGGCTCCACAATACAAAAACATTAACTTCCAATACTGAAATTTATCTTGGAGAACGCAATATATTCATATTAACTGAGAGCATTTTGACTAATAATAACATTACCTCTTCATCAACATTAACAGCGCATTGTTTCACAATGAACTCGACCAATCTCTGGCCTCCTTCAAGATTGAGATAACCATGATGCGCCATGGCTGCAATCAGTTGAGCAAACATCTGTTTCACCTGAAAATGCAAAATTGAAGACGTTTAGTATGGTATCATTAACCAGCAGTGTAAAAAGGGGAGACTCCCCCCTGTTGGGAGCTCGGGGGGGGGGGGGGTAAGCACCTTTGTTAGAACTTTAATTTCCAATTGGGGGGCTGACCTCCCAATATTTTGGGGGCCATTTGGGGGTCTGACTTTATTTTATTCCCTCCAGGTATTTTATTTATTTCATAACCTCGAAGATACAGTGCAACTATAGGTTTGAAACGATGCGGTGAAGATTTTAGTAATATGTACTTGAATACTATGATCCTACCATCAGATCATTTATGTGGCTTCAACATGAAATAGCTTCTGTACATCGAAATCTTTTAGTTCAATTTAAGTCCAATTCAGTTCAATTTAGTTCAATTCAAAAAACACTAATTGAAGAATTACTAGAACCAACAACGTACTGTATACTTAGGGCTCAAAATAACGACCTGCGAATAGCCAAAGGCAGGGTATATCTCAGAAATGGCAGGCGGAAAAAAATCCGGAGATCCCAAGTCAAAAATAAAATGGCAGATTTTGCGTTTACAACATCGCGTTGTACAATCTACTATATACCGTTGGAGCCATATTTCAAAGTGATATGCAAATTAGTAAGGAAGTAGAATAAATTATGTCCGTGATTTCTGGCCATGACAACATTTAGCAACCAAACTTTGCAATTTTACTAATTTTAAGATGCTCTTTCTAGCTGTGGTGATGGATTTCGTTTTTCCTACCTAGAGCAAAATTAAGTATATAGCTGCAATCATCCATTGCGCTGTTGGTTATTTTGAAAACCTTGATCGACAGTACATAAACTGCTCAACAAACCTTTGGACTTGCATCCGTGATAACAACTTGAACACCAGTTACTAAGAGTGGCTTCTTGTTTTCCAAATAACTTCCTGCAAGAACAGAGAAGATGGAGACTTTTAATTTTTAAATAGGCCTAGTGTATACATTTAAGTACAATCATCAGGTTGCGATAATTCGCGTGCATATACGAACGGAGGGTACGACACTATTGCCTTCTGGTATCTTTTTCATTTTAGCGTATAGGTATGCAGTGTTCTTGCTATCTGCGTACGTTTTGCTTGTACCATATGACCAGCAAACTTTCCAAGGCTTAAATCCGATATCTCCGGCATGTTTGGGCATGCAACATGATAGGACTCAATGCTGTTTTTGAAAAGCTGGAAGGTGAGTAGTCACATACTAACCCTCAGATTGAACCTCCACTCTTTGAGAGCGTGAGTGAGCTTTTAGAATACAGGCATAAGGATTGTCGGAGTGGATTTTATGTGTCCGTATAGCATGCAATTGCGTTCCTTCACACTGTACAGGTATTTCAGGTTACTGAATGAATATACCTTTTAGAAAACTGCGTTTTACACACTTAATCTTAAAGACTATAAGTGCACCTTGAGTCTCAAGTTTGTACCAAGTCAAGTACACGGCAAGAACCATTGGAGTATACAAGTGGTAACGCTAAAAGTCACTAATTATGTAAAAATCAAGATTTAAACCGAAAGGCCATCGTGCATAAATGTGTTTAAAATATAACAATGACAATAATAAAACAAACCTGAAGAGTTCACAAGTTGCTTCAGTACAGAAAGACTTCCCAACCTTCCTTTCTCCCCAGATTTTTCCAGTTTCAAGAGCAAATGAGATATTATGCGGTCGGAAAACACTTTACCTGTAATAAATAAATAACAATGTCAATATCAAACTGGTTAACAATGAACTACAACACATGTAGAGGGCAGCAAATATAAGATTCACATCAGGATTTTTGAGTGACTGAACCTGTTTAAAGATTTTGTAGTTACAAATGGAATTCTCGGGTGTACATTTTATACATCTAGTATGTAGACCTAACAAGGGCAGCTGAGAAAAATGCAACTATAGGCCCTTGCGTACATGAACTTGCGGTTAGATCTCGACAACTGGACTCTACAGCTCAGTTGGTTAGAGCGTACACCGGGATCGCAGGGCCGCAAGTTCTATTCCTGCCACAGGGCCTATAGTTGCTCCTGGTTAAAGGTCTAAATATAGACAGTGTGACCATATATGCAAATTTTTTTACTAAAGCTGCTTAAAATTGGTTGGTTGCCCCCTCCTGTTCTTAATGTTGCAGTTGTTTAAAGCAGGTGGGGTTGTCTAAGGGCATCCAACCGGATCTGGTAATAAAATGTACATACTAAACCTGGTCACACTGTAAAATAGATGTATAAAATCTAAACTAAAAAATTCCATCCACAAAATACTTCAACCATAAGATTCACACTCTTTGATTTTGTACATATTAATGACTACATCAACATTGATAAATTAAGTATATCGAGTGCAGAAAAATTGCGCGTTAAACTATTTTCCATGCGAACTATAACATAGATGCGGTGTGAAATATGAACAAGAGTTAACTACAATACTGTAAAATTGCATAAATCATTGAAAAGCCGTCAGACTTATTTATTACTTGTCTTCCAAATTTCAGGCTGAATCTGCCAGTGGGCTTCTATACATGGCAAATGTTAGGCTGTGCATGGGATTCTTAACCCTCTACAGTAAGTCGTACACGTGGATGACTTACATAAGGTATCAAAACATCTAAGAACTTCGTTGCAATTCTTGACAGTTCCAGGATTGCTGAAATCAGGCATGACACAAGCCTAAAAAACAAAAACAAAATAGAATATTATGAGCCGGTTCTGTTGCTTTGCCACGCGAGATTTGTACGGAATGTTTTGAAAGACTCGTAAGCAACATTTTACAGGGTGATAAAATGCTGCATTTCTTATATTTTGTTTATATATCATTTTGATACCCTTAACAAAGGGTTCAATTTGTTATTAGTGGAATCAAAATGGCTTGGATGGAAGAATAATAAGGCCGAATTGTTGACAACCGACATGGGATGACAAAATGGCGCCGAATTGGACAAAGTTGTGGTTTTACCTTGTCGATGGTTAAACAGCTAGGATCTGATTGAAATCTATTTAAAACTTGTTTAAAATGTGCTTGATACCATTATTTCTTCCCTGCCGTACAAATTTGGAAGGATTTCAACGAGATTGGCGATAAACAGCGGAGTAAAGTGGAGAATTTGGCCAAATGCGTCCATTTGCAGGAGGTAGGTACATTTCAAATTATTATTTCGGTCATAAAGTGAAGACTATTTTACAGCAAAGAAGTGATAATATACTTAAATAAGTACCAATTATGTTTCTATAAAAATTATTTAGGAAAAAAGGTAATGTAGGTCCACTGCTGTTTATCTGAATTTGTAAGTCACAAATTGACGTTTGACTATGAGTATTGCATGGTCATTTTCTTGTGAAATATCAGTGCTAGGCATTTCACACTTACCAATGACCACCCCTAAAAGCACCATCTCTGAACCATATAAGCACCTCAGAATAGCCAAAGCTTTTATGGTTTGGTAGATAGCCCTATGGCGAGAGCGTCGTTTTTGGGTGTGGTCAGTTTCGGACGTTTCGCCCCGGATTGGGGTTCGGGCAGCGTTACCATGTCGACCGTCATGGTCAACTTGCCCTAAAACAGTTCAGGTTATCTGTCCTAAATGAAATGCATACAAACTCATATACAGGTCCTAGACTAAAACGTACGAGACAAATCAGACGTGTTAAAAGCTCCCAACCATGGGACCATTTGGTTCCAGAAAATTATTGCGGGCTGTTTGGGAATTTCCGTTGGATTAAATTCGTTAAAGCAGGCACAGTACTAAAATGGGGTGCTACAAATAAAACTTTTCGCCTAGATGCAAGTAAAGTTTATATTTAGTACGCTACATTCTAGCAACATCCCTGTCGCCCGGCAGTTGGGCCCTACGTTAGGATAAAAAATTGGCAGTCACCGCGATTTAAAGCTGCTGATTTTTTACGAATAATAACTTTTGGTGAATATCAAAAACCTTTAATTATGGTGTAAAAAGTATGGAGTTTTCTCGTTTTTTTATTTCTTTGCCAATAAAAACCGTTCTGAGACCGATATGGGTAGAAATGATCTGTATACCTTGTCATAAAGATCATTTAATAAATGATCAAGATGTAAAGCCAACATATCTCCACCATCTGATATCGCTGCCTCAAGAATACGACAGAAACTCTGTAACAAATTAATGCATAAAAACGTTGGACCGATACTCAGATATATTTAAAATTTTCACAGAAATGGACAGTATATAAAGAATAAATTGAATGAACGAAAGAAAATTGACATACTGTAAATATAATTTGCATAAATATAAGACAGAATGACTTGTGCATGACAAAGCAGGCCAGTGTTGCCGTACAAAAATGCACTTTCATTGTCAACTTTGCATCAGGCGATTATGATTAAGGGTGCTCGAGCTTCGAGGACGTCCATCGCCATAGTTTTGTCAATGATTTGGAGTATGGAAATCTCATTGCGAATTCACAAATGCTCATTCTCATAGTCACTGAGAAATTTAATACACCTTTCGATAATTACGTCACATCCTAGGAGTTCGCTCACGATTCGTATAAGAATATGGCTCCCAGACAAAGAGAGATTTGTGGCGTTGTTTTGGGAAGAGTCTATTAAAAAATCACGTTTATACATGCATAATCTCTGTATACAGGTAACTCGAAACAAATGCTTACTTGAGTGATTGTGTAGAATTGAGCTGGAGGATGTTTTCTGTATAAACTGTTGATGCCACTAAACAAACGAGGCAGCTGTTCCTCCAATTTTTCTCGTGATAACAGATGTGACATATAACCGATGGCTTCAATTATCGAAAGCCGTACCTTAATGCAAGAAAAAATACCTTTTAATTTATCAAAATATCAGTTGAGGACTAAACAAGTCCAACATTGACAATACAATACAATATTTTTTTAGTCACGCGATATAGGTAGTGTGCAAGTCACGTCACCATCGCCATGTTGGATAACATTAACAAAGGATTTTGCTTGTTTGCAATGCAAATATCATCCAACATGGCAAAAATCTCTTTGTCCTTTGAATCCCATGGGAGTGGTTGCACATCATCTAGAGTAAATTCTTTGGCACATGTTGAATCAAGATTCCAAACAAACGTTAGACATAATCTAGCTTTTTACAAATAAATTGACTCCCGTGTGGCAGTCAATTTATACATTACATGAAATATAAATCGTTAGTAACTCTCTTTGACTGTGACAATGCTAGACAAATTTGGCTAAATTCTTTTTATACCCAATTCACAATTTTAGATAACTCACATGCCTATAATTATCATTGCTCTAGTATAAAGCAGCATAGAATAGAACAAAGGTGACTAAGCTTTAGTATTATCTACATGAGTGAATAACTCTTATGCTTAGTTACCTTTGTTCTTTTCTATGCTTCTGTAAATTAAAATAAAGGTAACTAGGCATGTGATTTATCTAACGTTGTGAATTGGGTAAAGCCTGGCTTCCATACGGTCGTAACGGTCGTAAAGATTGAGTCACGATCTTTGTCATCAGCCGAAATAAAACGTTTCCCCAGGGACCAACTCAACAAAAGCCATGGCGGCCATTTTGATGTTCCAGACAAGAGAGTCTAATTAAAATTCTTTTGAACTGGAACACCAACATGGCGGCTGTGACATCATAGTGCAAACGCTCTACACAACATTCTAGAACTGAAAATACACAGAGTGATTATATAACTAGAGAATACTTATTATTTATATGTGGTTTACAGGAATAAACTATTATAAACTGGCGGTTGAGAAAGATCGCGACTCTATTTTTATGACCATGATATGGAAATCAGGCTTAACAACGATTTGTCTACTGAAGGCAAAAGCTTCGTTTTTTTTAATTTGTGTGTGTTATACGAATTGAGAAAAGACCTTGTAGGTAAATTGGCTGGTCTCAGCACCATGCATGTATGCCAAAAATCACGGACATGCCTTTTTCTACTTCCTTCGTAATTTGCATATTATACGTTGAAATATGGCTTCAGCAGTGAATTATATAACGTGACGTTGTTAATCGCAAAATCTGAGATTAAAGTACGGTAGGTCGTTCGCATCTTGCCTCAATCGCTGGCTGCAAGAATACCGTACTACTGCCACTAGGAACAAACGAAGATGCAGAATAGACAGTAACTTAATAGGCAATTCCAGCTTTTAGTGTATACGTGCAGGGGTCCGGTAAGGTATCATATTGTTGATTATGCTGAAAAATAAAAATGGTGGCCGTGTACTGTACTGTAAACACGGAGTGATATAGCTTATCCTTGTAGTTGTAAATATTGAAATATTTCGGTTGCTTCGGCAGGGGTTTTTTTATTTTCTTAGCATAATCAGCAATATGATACTTTACGTCCGCTCACCCCCTGCGTGCATAAATTAAAAGCTGGAATTGCCTATTACACCAGGTAAACATCACATCAATTGTTCTACAAACTATATTCTGCAACCATGCAGCAATTGGGGCAAATTGCAAACGACCTACCGTATTCTCTAATTGTGCGATTTACAGCGTTGCGTACAGTACTATAATTTACTGTTTACTGCAGAAGCCATATTTCAAAAGGTTATCCATCAATGATATGCAATTAGTACGAAGTTTCCTTGACCTTTCCTTCCCTTGACAGTAACTACCTTTGCTTCGTTGCTTTTTATCCAAACGTTAAATAAAATTTCATAAGCAGATAACATTTCTCCTTCAAATGTATTTTGTCTGATATCATTATGACTTGTACTTTCAACGTTTGCCAAGTAATACGTAACGCTTTCTGAAAACCGCGAGAAACCTACACAATAAGAAAATTTGAATACCAATATTTAAGAAACAAGAATACACATGGAAAAGCAGTCAAAACCTTCGTTGGTAGAGATGAACTACCTGAAAAATACAAGAATATATTCGGCCTGGTAATGTCTGGTGATATCTTTTATTTGTGGCCATTTTAGTAACATTTTCTAGGCGGGTCACAAATAAACAAATTGCCCTCCAAAAGTCAAAATACCACAGCGGGAGCATATTGAACTTTATAACAAACATACTTGCAGGGAGGTGAGTCCGGGATTGGACGCACCTCGGGTGGCTGGAAGAAGAACCTCCAACAACACGAGGTGCGTCCAATCCCGGACTTTTTTCAAATGCTTTTTTTTCAACCTTAAAACATTCAATCTTCTTGAAACTTCGCATACAGATGTATTTTGCATGGGTTTAAATTATTCCTGAGGTGTGACGTCTTAGTTTTATCTTAAACTTCCAAAAACTCAGAGAAAGCAGCCTAAAACGCGCGGTTTCTCGGACCGTTCATACTTATGGTCGTGTTTTTCGCATTTTTTTGCTAATTCGTGATTTGTTTGCTTTGCGAATATTACATTCGTTTGTCATACTACTGATATCAATTAAATTTGGTGACATAACTAATATTTTTGGGCAAGATTTTTCTGATCAAAAATGTGCATATTTTGAAAAAAAAATTTAAAAAGGACTGGGTCTACCTACAAAAAAAGCTTCAAGCACGGCTTCAACTTCCCCCCCTGACTTAGCCTTCCAGTTTTTTATAGTTCAATGTCTCGAACCCACCTCCCAAACATACGTCAGCAGGTGGGTTCGAGATTGAACGCACCTCCTCGTAGCCAATAGCAAAGCCGCTAACACGCTAGGTATGAGATAATTTTGCGCACTGACCTAAATAGGAACTAGAAGGCTGCATTCAAACAAAAAAGGCAAGCAAGCATTGCTACATAAGCTCAAATCTTGTAAATGAGAGCATAGTAAAAGAACCGGATATTGTATTTACTTACAATGAGCAAACACCCATTTCATATTATCTTGCTTTGTCAGCAATAACATCGGTAGCAATCTGCCCAGAATATCTTTGAGAAAGGGGACTAATGCAAAAGCTAAATAAAAACACACGCGTTAGTTGCAGTGACGAACACTGGGAATTTCAATCCTCGGACCTTTTCTTGGCTAAACTTAGTTCTCGTTGTCGTTGTCGAGCTCTAACCACAAGTTCATGTTTTATGTACTCAAATGAATATGATGTACATGTACAATACGGATGCGAATGTTGTAAATGGCTTAGTAAACGTCTTGATGAGAACATTCGTGTTCTTCAACAATTTAAAATAAATGAATGATATTTGATGAGAAAACTGAATTTTACGTAATCAGCATGATTCTGTATCAGATATACAAACTCCTTCACGCTCATGATTTCTTTTGTGTTTTCTTCATGAATTATTAATGCGATTCACAAAATTATGTAAATAGTGTTGTATGCCTTGTCTTTAGTCAGGTATTCAGGTTGGTCTTCACATGGGACTCGCATGTTCTGTTGACTATACCTTCAACCATATTTAAATTAAGTGTTGCTCAGTTTTTTCAAAACGTTTATTTGTAATAATTTTGTAGTACTTTTGTGTGGTTGCATGTAAAGTTAATAAATGAATCAATAAATAATTATCACTTATTTACTGAGACCGAGGCGAAACAGTGTGTTTTGTGGACCCGAGACAACAACAGCTGTCGAGGGGCCACAAAACACACTGTTTTCCCGAGGTCTCAGTAAAAAAGTGTTTTGTTATATAGTATATAAGTGTCAAAGTATGAATAATTCACCGGTTATTGGAGTGAACTTAATTTGAAACCAGAACTGGATAAATGGAACGCCGTAAATGTTTAGTAAAAAGTTTTAAAAATGAACTTTGGAACTTCATGGTTGACACGCATGCGTATTGAACCCATTTTATTATTGACCGGTCAATAAATGTTTGATTGCGGACCGGTTGCCGAACATGACGTTTTGTGGACCGGCACGTGGCACGGTTTTGACCAATCGGCAAACAGAAAAATTGAACTTTGACACTAACTATATAACAATAATTTTTCTTTGCTCTTACCATCAGCTTGAGCAAAGTTAGCCAAGGTTAATATGACAAAGTAGTGGGGTAAGGTTCCTGGCACCAAGTTCTCCAGCAGTTCGCTCATTACTTCATGTTTGAACTTCTTACCAACAGACACGATGAGGTCTGATGCAGCAGTTTGCCACTTTGGTTGAATATCCTGAAAATTATGAAAAGATGCGTCGCAGTTTGCCTACAAGCAAGATCAGTAGTTATCGACCTGCATTGTAAAATCTGGCAGAAAAATTACCTTTGATTTTGTCATTTCCTGAAAGGCCAACTTCAAAAGTTCTTTGGCTAGATCTGCTTGAATAACATCCCTCTTATCTGATATAATCTTGCCCATGGATTCCAGCAAGACAACACGGTGCTCTTTACTTAGCTACAGGAAAGGAATTAAACATAACATAACATTGGACGGAATAAAGCAGTGTTGTAGCAAGTCGGACATGGACTTGAATCAGTTGAGTGCAGACTGCGCCGTATGCTCGTCACCACCAACAGCCCCAAATAACGAGATTTGGACATTCCTGCCGTAACCTGCCGTAAATGAATATCACTTTTCCCCTAGCAGCAAAATCCAAAAATACACGCTCTGCCTCTGGTAGTTAGATATGGTGTAATATTACTGTTTAAGAATGCAAGCGCTTTCATTGGTCGAGAGTCATGATCTATTAGAGGACAGACGAACGGAATTACGTCACACAAAACCTTATCCAATAGCATTCCCTTATTTGTGTAGATCATGTACGCGTGATATTTGTAAAATTTCGACTTTTTCAAATTTCCAAATGTTTGGGTGGATAAAAAGTAAGATATGAACATGCAAAATCAATTCAACAAAATGTCCGTTTTGAATGTTAAACAATTTCAAAAAATATCCAAAAACTAAAGCAAGAAAAATTTAACTGAAAGTACTTCTTTTCAAATTCAAGGACATTCAAGGACTTTCAAGTGTTGTACGAACCCTGAGTAAACTAAGTGAAGTACTGTACAATAAGCATGTTCTGTACCTTCTGGTGTTTCAATATGTAATCTTTGCACAGGCTTAAAACCAGTTCTGGTTTCTCCAAGCCAATGGCATACAGAGACGATCTGACCATTTCAGTGACAGACTTGTCTTTGTCATTCGCTGCATCAACCAGTGCCATCACCATGTCTAACGAAAGAACGTTCGAATGTGTTGGACAAACTTTAATTTTCGTAACTGGCAAAATATTATTCTAAAATGCTGCAAAACTTTATCAATGTTAAGTCCAATAGGAAATAAGCAATCCGTGTTCGCCATGGAGTAATACCTTCGGTCAATTTCAGCCTTTCAGAAAAGTAAACTGAGGAAAAGATGACAGGAAAAGATGGCAGAAATTGATATCCAGTGCCTATATATAGGAAGCTAGGTCGTCGGTTCAAGATCGATCATATCACGTGTAATCAAGTTATCAGTTAAAACTGTCAGGATATTGTTTATATCAAAGTCAATTAAAACACAAAATATAGTTCAGGGTTCAAAATTTGCAATATCCTGGCATCCTGACAATATCAGTTTCAACTTTTGGACACCAGATGTCAAAACCTTGGTATATCCAATTTGGACACTCAAGAGGATCTTGCCTAACCCATTTTCATTTCCACATGATTAATCAAGACAATTACAAAGGTTCTGACAATGCAGTTATTGTTGCCATTAGCATTAAACTCTATCATAATTAGTACTGGGAATCCCCTTTACATTTAGATTTTAGTGAATTTAATTTTGAGACCATATGGCAACTACAGTAAATCATATACCGTACATGTAATACACTCAAAGAAGCGCTGTTAGGGTAAATTCTGACAGGCAACATATGCCTTGAAATGGCGACATATGCCTGGAAATGGCATCATATATAAAATGAAATAGTAACATTGGTTGCAAACTCTGTCTAAACTGTGACAGCGACATGGTAATGTAATGTAATGTAAAACCTTTATTTCAACAGGGTTACCCTTTCAGAAGACAAGCTTCTGCTATCAATAGGGGCCATGGACATGGAAAAGAAGGAAAACAATAACGAAATTCCGAAAGCAACATTGGAATGTTCTCAAGCGGGCCACATTCAGGGTTCGAATTAGCGGCTCGCTATTCGCATTTTGCGAACGTAAATTCGCTTTTTATGAATGCAAAATCATCCATTTTGCGAATGACGTTTGGCAAAAACAATGACAAATGTGTTAGGTTTTACATAAAAGGTTGATTTTGACAATCACTTCGAATGTATTTTACTACAGTGTGTATCAAAATAATTCGAATCCAAATTTGGCGTGTAATAACGCAGAATATATTTGACAAATTCGGTTGGTTTTTACACCATTGTTAAGTTCATTTAAAATATTTACCTTTCAAATGACATGCTGTAGGCCTACGCGTCATTTAGTTGGTAAATGAAGGAGTATTGCTTTGACAAAAAAAGTCCATAAAAATCACAATTTTCCGCCGATGGGAATTGGACATTTTTTCTTTCAAAGTTAGTCCCACAAGGCTTTGAAATCTAATCATCACTGAAAACTTAAATGCAAATTTAACGCGAATTTCTTCTCGTTCAACATGTTGAAGGCATAGGAGCTTAAATCTCTTATCTAATCATCACTGAAAACTTAAATGCAAATTTAACGCGAATTTCTTCTCGTTCAACATGTTGAAGGCATAGGAGCTTAAATCTCTTTAAATGAACACGAATTTATGTAAATTTTGCTACATAACAGTTTGTTGATTAATTAAATTTGCATTATCTTTTGTTTGTACGTCTCACTTCGAATTCCCATCGGCGGAAAAATTTGATTTCGAGCAACCAGTTTTAACACACGATTTCTTGGTCATTTTTGATCTTATTGATATAAGAACGACATAATCGGAAACCTAATAGGCTATTCTTAATTGCCATATAAAAATTATATGGTTTACTTATTATTTTATAAACAGCAGTGTGTCAAATTTGGATTCGAATTATTTTGATACACACTGTATAATGTCTTAATGAAAGATATGGAGTATTTTGCTGACTATTATTGTAATTTTGTACTAAAAATATGTGTGAAATGAAGAATATGGCTACAATTTCTTCAGAAACTTTACGAAAGGTGATCGCTAGATAGTATACTTCAAAATAAGGTTTCCGTTTTGTTGACGTAGAAAAAACTATCTTAACGCAAAACTAAACCCTAACCCTAATACTAACCCTCACCCTAACCTAACCCTAACCCTAACCTAAACCCCAACCTAACCCTAACTTTTTAAAAAATTGATATAAAAAGGGAAACCTTATTTTGAAGTATACTATCTAGCAATTCCCCTTTACGAAATTCGCTATGAAACGACCGCCATTTTGTTTTTCGAAAGCAGTGTTTCCACTTTTCAAAACTGAAATGTCCTTCAAATTTTCAAGAAGGAAATTTGCGAATCGATTTCTCCTTTCTATTAAATTCGAACCCTGACATTGCTTGTTTTGGAAATCAGATGAGCGATATGCACAACCACCCTAACAGGATCTCTTCAAACCATGTTTTATTTTGAGAAATTTGATACCAGCTTTTCAGTTTGGATACCAGCCGAGGTTAAGAAATGCTGGTATCCAGTATCCACAAAGAATTCCAGGAAAAAATTCTAATCTCACTCAAACTCTGTGCAGTCTTGTGCTAACCGAACAGTCAAATCCTAACTCTAAGGGAGTACCTACGAATAAATTTTGCCCTCTATGATTAACAAGTAATCGCATAGTTCCTCGTAAAATTAAGGTTTAATTTCACTTGTGTTTTCAAAGTTTTACAAATTGCCCTCGTCGCTTCACGAAACTTTGTGAAACTTTGAAAACACAAATGAAATTAAACCAGTCCTTAATTTTACTCGGCCCCATGCGATTACCTATACTAATTAAATAACATTCGCTGTAAACAACCCACAATGACACCAATCAACATTTGGCAAGTTCCAAATTTCCCCAACATCACATGTGGTATGAGACTTCGGGGAGTCTGAATTTGACATATGATAGAATTATGCAAAATCTCATCACCATGAGAAAGACTACTTTGCAAAGCTCAAAGTCAGTCAGCAAGTCACTGGTCATTGATCGACCAATAGACAATTCCCATTATAGACTAATTTTAAAACTAGGCAAAGAGATGCAAATAAATCACCACAGCTAGAAAGAGCATACCAAAATTCGTAAAATTACAAAGTTTGGTTGCGAAATGTTGTAAAATGTGGAAAATATAGCCTTGCAAAGTTCGCAAATTTTGTATACTTTTGTATTGCGTGGTGAAATTCCTACCACATTTGGGCCGAAAATGGTAGCAATTTTCGCACGCAATACAAAAGTATACAAAATTTGCAAACTTTGCAAGGCTATATATTTTCCGCATTTTACAACATTTCGCAACCAAACTTTTATACATAATTTTACTAATTTTAGTATGCTCTTTCTAGATGTGGTCTCCTTGCCTAGTTTTAAAATTAGTCTATAATGGGAATTGTCTATTGATGATTTGTTAAATTTATATTGGCCATTGGGTCATTCCAGTAAATATCCATACAGTACCTCCCCCACAGAGGAAATTGGAAGTTAATTAACCCCACCACCCGCTTCAGACGTCCTATTTTACTATTATCAGAAACAAATTTTGACTGCCCCCTCCCCTCCGGATGGTAGAAATTTCCTCTGTGGGGGGAGTGTGGATTATTTCTGGCACAACCCAATTTTGAAATAATATTGAAATTAATATATGATTTTTGCCACAGCGTTTTGCACTTTTGCAGGCAAAAGAACAGTATTCTATATAACCGGCTTGCAATCAATCTCTTGGAAATTAAGACAATAAACGGCAGTCTGGATGGTGCCTATTCAATCAAAGATAATGACTAATGAGATATATGGATTCTTTTGTTGAAATACCAATCGTTTGGCAACGTAGAGTAAAATAATAAAGTACATTTGGGGCATAATGCAACTTAATGGGTTAATCAAGATCCAGTGTGGAAAGTTTGTATCGCACAGCCAAGATATCGGGCATGTAATTTTGTTGTTTTCTACATATTTACTATTAAATTTTCAAATCTTGGTTGCACAATTTCCAAACTTTCCAGTCGGGATGAAGATCATGCATGCATTAATTGCAAAAGTGATCGCAGTTAATTCATTGTTCTGATATTGTTGTCAATGCTGCAGTTATCATTTAACTCTGTCATTGGGTAATTGCAAACCTCTTACATTTGAGCCTGGTCTCCATTAAATCATAAATATCACAACTGTCATATGTCGCAAGAGTCGTAGAAATAGGCTGGTTGCAATTTCTGCGATTGCCATATTGGTCTGATTCTGAGATTGTGTGACTCTTACGATTTAATAAAAACCATGCTGGCTTCAGTTTTGAGATCGCGATAATTAAATACTGTCAAGGGGCAGGCTATATCAAGGGCCGATCAGCATGTTTTATTTGAGAATACCAGATTTTCAGTTTGTAAACAAGGTTAAAATATGCTGTTATCCAAAATATTTTCCAGATCTCAAATCTCAAACCCTGAGCTTTGTAAGCAACATGTATCTGCATGTAAAATCTACCATACACATTTAATTGCGACAATTCATTGTCATTAAATATATAAACACAGTATATATAAATTTATATAATGTATACCTTCAACTTGTGCGCCAGTCTTCTTGTGTTCTGTCATGGCGGCTTGTACTTCCCGTCTCGTAAATGCGTTTCAAAGGTAAAATCTTCGACTGCTACACTTAGTTTGCAGAAGAAAAGAGTGACTAAGCTTACAGCATTTATTACATTTTAGTTGTGAAAGAATAAAATCTTCTGCGAACCTCTTCCATTTCCAGGAGATGTCATCTGATCAAAAATCGCCAGCCACTCAAATCCTGCGCCCCCCTGGAATACGTTAAATTTCTAAAACATTTCGGGGGGTGGACGAAATATCTTGTCCGAGTTGTGTTTCCATTTTTATGGCAAAATTTCCATATACGAACGAAAACGCGGAAGCGCGGGTACGGATTGCGGGGTCGGGATGGCAGATGTCCGGAATGCGGAGTGTGCGGTATAGAATATTAAGTGAACGGAATGCGGAGTGCAGGATTGCGGATATGCGCAGTACGAAGTGCGGGTGCTGAGAGAAAAATTAATTATTATATGCTAAATTTTATAAAAATTACGGGAACCACTGAGTATTTTGATAAAATACAAAACAATAGATACTCCGACGTTTCATTTCCTGATGATGACTATAGTTTAGTGGAAACGTCGAAATAAATTTTGCAAAATGCTTTCAATTTTCGGAGTATCTATTGTTTTGTATTTTATCTAAATTTTATATTGATTAGATTTTTCTAATTCAATGCTTTTCTCATCCAACAACGTAAATTTTTTGTCGTATTTCATTTTTTACGAAGGTATACAATTGTACGAAAATGTACAGTGATAGCTGAGTTAATAGTATTTCTAGCAGAATCTTACAAATTCTTTGCTATTAACAAATATAGTCCGTGTGTTGTGACCTCGAAAAGTGCCTAGAAAACAATTTTCATTAAGCATGTCTTAGAACTGAAATACTTTTACGGGAACTAACACTTTCGAACACGCTGAGTTCAAATCCGAAAAGTTCCCACTCCGTAGACCCGCAGTTTTTTCACAAAATGCTATTTTATCTTCACTAATTTCACAACAAATTTTTTCATTGTTCAACATCACGGATCGATGACGATACACGATTATGTCACTCAAAAGGACCAATTTCTATTAACCATTCTTCCTTTTAACAAAACACCGGTTTTGCTCGAATCATTTTGAGTTATGTAATCTTATGCGTGTTGGACGTAAACAACATATCTTGTCTACAACTTTGAGAAGGTACAGATAATTCTTTATAATATTCTTAGTTCTGGAACTATCTCTATAAAATCAAAAGGACGTTAATGTCAAATCTTTGGGCTATGTCTCTGGGCTGAGAAATAATTCTTACATGGGATCAAAATGTTTTATACAAAGATATAAAACGGGAATCTATATGTAAATTACATATAGATTCCCGTTTTATATCTTTGTATAAAACATTTTGATGTAATGGATCAACATGGAAATTTCCAACACGGTTTCCAAGACGTAATTCAAGAGATAACTTATCATTGCATTTGAACTATTATATCAGTTGGTGTTATACTGTGCGATAAGCGAGTATTATTGGAAAGAGGGCTTCTATATTCGTCGAAATCATCGAATAAACAGCTCATTCACACATTTCTCCACTTCGCGGTAAGTTTACAGAGCATATTTTATACGTTGTGACTGATCTTTGTCTTTGATGTGAACATTTATTCTTATAGCTTAAGGTTATTTAAGATTGATCCTGTCGTAAGTCTTCTACCTGCAAGCATTCGACAATATTTCGTTTTAACGTTGTCTTTGCCGTTACGTTGGCTTTGCGTTACTTTTGTTTTAAATATCTTGATCGCGTTAAATTAGTTACTTTTCTCGCCAGTGACATAGCTAAAAGACTTGACATTAATGTCCTTGTGATTTTATAGAGATATCTCTAGAACTGACGGTTTTAGAAAGCGTTGTCTGTACCTTCTCAAAGTTATAGACAAGATATGTTGTTTACGTCCAACACGCATAAGATTGCATAACTTAAAATGATTCGAGCAAAACTGATCTTTTGTTAAAAGAAAGAATTGTTAATTGAAATTGGCCCTTTTGAGTGACATAATCTTGTATCGTCATCGATCCGTATCGTTGAACAATGAAAAAATTTGCTGTGAAATTAGTGAAGATAAAATAGCATTTTGTGAAAAAACTGCGGGTCTATGGAGTGGGAACTTTTCGGATTTGAACTCAGCGTGTTCGAAAGTGTTAGTAGTCCCGTAAAAATATTTCAGTTCTAAGACATGCTTAATGAAAGTGAACGATATCGGGTCACAACACACGGACTAATAGTCACTATCAGTATTCCAAACTCCACACTCAGATATCCTTAGATATCCCCAGTTTCAACCAAGTTGTGCAACCTCGTTCCCAGACTCTCTTACCGTCCCAATATGGAAGAACCTAGGAACGAGCAGAACGAGCTATGTGGCTATCATTCTCGTACCAGAGTACTTCTTACGCGCGGTGCGACGAGGGGCTCCGGCCAAATCCATAACCGGATACCATAAGAACATGGTAAGAAAACGATATCCGGTGTTAGAACTAGCCAATCAGATGCCAGTTCGGATATGGATTTGGCCAGAGCCACTCGTCGCACCGCGCGTAAGAAGGGCTCTGAGTACAAGAATGGGTTGTTATTTTGTGAGACTCTCGTCGCCCCCATAATATTTTCAGTGGAACTCAAGTCTGGCATATAGACGCGCCTTGGAGAAAAAGGTAGGCAAAGTTATTAATCGATTAGTGTAAGGACTTTCAATCAGTAGAATGTACATTTCGATCGAAACAGACAAACACAGTGCTGGTGTATGTGACGAACAGAAATGTTCATCAATTTTTCTTCATTTCTTCAAAGTTCACGCATTGGTGATTTCGAATATTTTCGGTAAATGGTTTATTAAAACAATTGTACAAAAGTCGCAATTCAATGTAACTGAAATTGGAAAAAAAGTACATCAGAAGCAAAATTGCATTTTTTTTTGTCTGTTTATGTTGTTGACAGGTGCTTTTGATAGCTTACGCAGGGACGCCGGAACGATGTGAAGGCAAGGGGGCGGATTTTCGTGAAAGGGCACTTTTGAATTGATATATACTAAGAGATGTTTGCAAAATATCGGGAGTTGAACTTCACCTAATCATGTTTTCTATTTATTGGATGATAGGGGTGTGAGGGGGTTCTCCGCCAGGCGATTGTGCTATTCTTGAAGCTTGATGACTGCATTTCTTGCATTTTCTGAAGCAAATTCGTAAAAGAATTGCACTAACATTTCTGACAATTCGCTATTTCGCCAAGGCAATCCTTTAAATTGAAAGGGCACCTTTGCCCCCCTTGCCCCTCCTGGTAAAGGGCAACGGGCGCGGCTGCCCCTCCTGCCCCCCAGCTCTGGTGTCCCTGAGCTTACGCATGCGTCAACAAGCAATTGAGACAAGCTAGCAATCGAAATAACAAAATTGGAGCGTTCGCTAAGCATAAAAACCGAGGCTAAGTTGTCAAAAGATGAATATCACATAGAGCATCGCTTAAGTGAATGATATATATAGCCTGCAGAAATGGTTAAAAATTGAGATCAGGATAACTTTTTTTCATAGCGAGTTGACTCGGAGATTCAAACTGTCCCCTAATTTTGCACTATAGATTCAAATATACAAGTCAAAACTGAAATGATTTTCTACAATATTGAAACAAGGCAACGTGAATTCAATGCAATAAAATATTAAAATGCGTCGGCATCAATTATTTGGGGATGTAAAGTGCAAAGTAAATTAAGCAATATTAAATTAAAAGAAAAGAATATTTATAGTTGTAATGCACGGCTCTTATTCTTGGTGAAACTGTATGATTGCAGCCATTTGAGTTAAAACCCGTTGTTACATTGTTTGAAGCTAAATGCGCTTTTCCGTTAAAGAACGGCGAAACGCGACAGTACAAACTCGCTTTGTGTTGCAACGGAACAATGAAGCCGCAAGAAATGAAAACGTTGATACTTAAACATGTCAATCAACTTATGCGTTTGGTTAGTGCAGCTTCCAACTTCGTCCACAGGGAGTGCGCCATCACGAAGATCCTGGGGACGAGCTAAGGTGGTATAGCTTCAACTCTGCGACCCTGCGTTTCTGGTGCAATTCCGCTTCGATTCCTGGCAGAGAGCTAGCTATACTTGAAATTTTTGTAACTGCTTCTGGTTAGATTTAATAAATTTATAAAATTCACACTCGAAATTCTCATCTGAGTGTAGTGCTCAAAATCTTGACATGAAAGATATGCACTTGGCCAACGGACTAAGAATATTGTAGTATTTTTTTTAAGATATATATAACTCGTGGGGCCAAGTGGTCAAATAACTTAACAGGTCAAAATTTATTAAATGTATAAAAATGCCAAAACATACTAAAAGTCAGAGACTGTTCTAATTACCGAAACATTTCTGTTTAATAAAACACAAAACAATAGACACTCCGAAAATTGTAAACATTTTAATTCTTTACGTTTCGACTATAATTCAAGTCATCTTCAGAAAAGATGACTTGAATTATAGTCGAAACGTAAAGAATTAAAGTGTTTACAATTTTCGGAGAGTTTACTGCTTTGTGTTTTATTAAAATACTCTATGGCAACCGGAATTTCTGTTTAACGTGAGTCAATTCTGACTCTGCAGTTCGCTCAAGAAATTCATTAAAATCTTTACATATACGGTATGCAAAATTCCTACTGTGATCACAGAAAGTCCAGAAACTTGACAGTAAAATCCAATCTTTAGGCCGTTTGTTTACTGATATTTTACGAAACCGCTTAGTCTGAAAAATTTCGAAAATTTTCATCAGACAATACAAACAAACTTTAATTAATTTAAAGTGTTTTCAATTTCGTTCTGCATGTACGTCAGTCGTTTTAAGTATATATTTGCTACAATAGTATGCATATTGTTGGAACTATTACACGCTCACACATTGTCCGGCTGCTCCGAGTGAAATAGCCAGTTTTGTTTCGCCAATTCGCACGAATCTCAATGTTTCCCTCTACCCCAAGGGAACAGACACTTAAAAGTGTTTTGTTATATTGCAAAAAAAAAATCAGCACCATTCATACAACGTTAACAATTGTATTCATGACCGAAAAACTCTATTTTTGTGTAACCACGGTTTAAATTAAACGGTTTTAGCAGCATATGCTTGTATCTTTCTTCTCTTTTACATAGTTTATGAACTAATATAATTGCGAGTTGTGCCGCCATTTTGTAATTTTTGTTTATTTATGCACTACGTACGTTGCTGGTCGGGCAACAATGTATTCACTTGTTGCCCGTCGGGATACATTCAATTATCTAAAGTCACGTGAGCACAATGCAGCAAAGTAGGTTTGGCGTTCATCCTAGCCATACAACAAATGTTACTAATTTTCAAACTTAATCATTGTACTAAAAATACTGAAATACGCTCATTGAAATTCACAGGTTTTTGTTTATCTTCGTTTTTACTTGCGTCGCCCTCGTCGGCAGCGGTTCCTGTTGAAGAGAGGTATTTCGTCGTGCGTATGCGTTTCTCCTTTGCATATGATCAGCGGAGACCTCTGTGGAAAAAATAGAGTTCTTGTTAAGATAGACGAAAAGCGGGAAACGCGAAAGCGGACATACGGGCAGCGGACATGCGGATATTTTGTCATTTTCAGTTAATATTAATTGTTAAAGCACGCGGCTTTTTATTTTATCTTCAGTGTGCATGAAAGCATATTTGAACAAGATATATGACCGCCGTATGAGTCACAAGTTAGGAGAACAGCTACTATTTTTAGACTTTTAGGATTAGGATTTGGATTAGGGAAAGGGTTAGGGTTAGGATTAAGATAAGGGTTAAGATCAGAGTAAGTTTAGGCATGCGTTAGGAGAACAGTTACTATGTTTAGACTTTTAGGCCGGGTTAAGATTAGGGTTTGGATTAGGGAAGGAGTTAGGATTAGGGTTAGGATTAATATTAGGATTAAGATCAGAGTAAGTTTAGGCATGCGTTTATTATTTATTGGTACTACTATTACAATTTTTACCCCAAATTTCTGTGCGTGATACAACACCCAAAATGCTGTAACTATTGCAGCACTGTAGGGGGGTTATAGCAAGAACCAAATCTAATAATTTTTACATACCCGTGCAGTCTCTTCTATTTAGGACCGTACACGCTGAGAGGAACAGGAGCAACTCACCCCCTTTCCTCACCCCCTCCTCTCACCCCCTCCCCTCACTCCCTCCCCTCACCTCCTCCCCTCACCCCATCCCCTCACCCCTCTAGAGAAAATTGACTTACTAATTTTGTAATGTTATAATATATTAATAAGCTAAATGGCACTTACAATCCTGTGAAACAAAATGTACGATTCTGTACGAGTCGGTCATAAGCATGCATGTAACTGATGACTTTGAATACATATATATATGGATACGCACTTATTTTAGCACTGATAGGTATTACTGTCCCCTAACGACGGTTGTACGAAGACTGCAGGATATCGTGCTAACCACCGATCGAAAAGTTAATTTTGTAAACTTTCAAACGTTGGTATAATCCAGATTAAACATTAGTATTTATGAATTGTGAGGTCCATATCCGTACTTTAATAGCCTTGGGATTATATTTACACAGGTTGAAAAAATCACTGTCAGGTTTATAACTCTATCCGGCCTTCCTAAATCGTCCGTCCAGCTCTACTTCCAAAATAGCTGGGCGGAATAAACAGTTAAGCAGCCCCCATCGAGGGTGTCGAAAGAATTGAGACCGGACGAACCTAATTTCACATTGCAGACAGCAGTTCAAGATTGTTTTAATTTTTCCAGGTTCAAAGATGGCAGCAAGATTTAAGCGGATTTCCCTTGTGACGCTGGCGATACTGGAATTGGTAAGCCGACGCGACCATATCTGTTATGTAAACTTTTTCCCAAAATAGATGTTACGCTGTTTGATATTCAAAGGGAATTGCAATGTATTTTTTTTATTTTCTCGTTTGAAAGAACATTTAAAACCAAAATTAAAACTCTTTTACCGTTTTTTCATATCTTGCTTACTTCTACAAATATTTTAATTGAAGGAAATGAAATCTTGGATTTTTGTAGATATGCATGTTACGTCACAACAGGTATTACGCAATATGTTTATCTAGACAACCACTAATCATTTTGTTTCAAATTGGAACTTTTAAATGGCAATAAAAACCCTATATAAAATATAAAAAAATTAACTGTCTTGAATTATTTTGTCGGGCGGTACATTTATATTGTATAACAAAATATAAAACATTTTCACGAGGATTTTAAAATTCAGTCGGGCGGTGATGAGAATCAAGGAATTTATTTTATGCACAGGGAGCAGAGGAGTCGAGTTTATCTAGTAAAACAATACAAACGCCGTCTTACCTTGTTAATTGTAATATCTTTCATTGTAGAATCCCCATGTGTGCATTAAAAATGCATATTTTACAATTTATAGTCCGTTGAAATTGTCGTGAAACCATATAAAGTTTATAAACATTGTATGCCTTGTATGATTTTTTATTCGTACTTCATGTAACATGAACACAAAATGAATATACTCTGCTGTTCTAGATTATCGTGGGCTCACATTTCGCTATACTTAGTAAACAATAAGAAACGAAGAAAGGGAGGAAACGGTCATTAAGGTGATATTTTAGGACGGCTATAACTTGCTTAGTATTTCATAAAAAAACATAACTTTTTGCATGCAAGCTAGAAATGATCTATTCTTACTACGCTAGGAAATAAATTTCAACGATGTGCACCGCAACACCCTATGACGGAAGTGACGTATTGTTTCGTGTTTATGCATGATTGTTCAAATTTTTCGAATACTAATTACAACTGTCAAATGAAGTTCTGCTTCGTCATTGGTCAATGGCCGGTTTTATTCACTTCCGTCATAGGGTGTTGCGGTGCACATGCGACGAAAGATCTGCAATGTTTCCTCCCTTTCTTAGTTTCTTACTCGTTGATATCTCGGACAGTGTTCGTTAGCTTTTCGGGAAATACAAGTCTACGGTAATTCAAGACAGCGGAGTATATTAATTGTTGAAATTCATATTTTGGTTTTATATTCGATAACTTTGATGAATAAATATGTATTTTTAATGCACACATTGGGATTCTACAACTAGAATTAACAAGGTAAGATGGTGTTTGTCTAGTTTTACTAGATAAACTCGACTCCTCTGCTCCATGTGTTTTATGTTGGGCAGTTGGGACTTGGGAGCAACTTGGGAGTGGCTAATTTTGAATATTTACTTAATGACATCTATAAATAGCTTTGATGCTTCAGGGGCGGTAGTTCATTTACACCCAGTTTTGCGGCAGGCGGTATTTCCTACGTACCGCCTGCCATGCAGGCTAAGCATTCTTAAGACGTACAGGTAAATTATATAACACAAGTTTTTGCTATTTTATTTCATATTATATAAATCTAATACTGCTGGGCGCATTTACTCAGGCCACATTTTATACACAGTATTAAACTAAGAAATTTAGAAACCAAAACTTTATAATAAATTAAAATATAGAACTTACAGTGGTCAAAGCTCATTGAGTGAACAACGCACCAAGAGCCGTCACGTTATTTTATACACTAAATCATGGCCTTTACAGGGCTTAAAACAGGCATTACTAAACCGTACGCTGAGTGCCTGATTCAAAATAATTTACAAGTCGAAGTAAGCAAAACAAACGATATCCTTCAAATATGCCTCAAATATTGTATGTCGTACGTTATTTTGTGTTCTGCGCATAGCAAGGCCGCACGACCACAATGCAATGCGCTAAATAAAATTTACTTCAAAACCCTCTCTCTGCACATACTAGAATCCTTCTTCGCTCGCTGGTTCAAGCTCGCCTCTTGGTGATGCTGGGGAGGGGGGGGGGGAGAAATTCCCAATGTGATTTTGATCAGAAATGTTGCATTTAAATCATTTTAGGTTCTATGAGACACCATTTCCGCATTCTCAAAATTGCGTTGCTTTTTCATACGATACAGAATAAATCTGAGAAGAAATATTCATGCTATGATGATGCATACATGTATTTAACAGTTAAAAATCTAAACTAAATCTATTCTTCTTGGATCCAGCATTTTATCGGATTGTTTGCATGAAATCTATCGCTATTATGAAATACTCGGTGAAGAACAATATGAATTACACACAAGATAGCTGTGGAGGAGGCTATGGAAGGGCATAATCTCATTATCAAGTAAATCAACTGCAATTCTGACAGCAATCATGAGCAATTCTGCTTCGCACTTCGGGGGCAGAAATGGCTTTACTAGGGGGGGGGGGATTCTTTCCCTGGGGGGCAATTGCCCCCCCCCCCAGATATATAGTTAAAAAAGGCACTGAAGCTCATTATAAATTCCGCATGAATGTTATCTTGCAACAAAGTGTCGTCATAAATTTTTGCATACTAAATACTTCCGTTGCTCGATTAGTTACGACTAACATGTAAAACTAGACAAGGCATAAAGAGATTAAAAAACACAAATTATATTTGAAGGCTAAACAAGTTAGTGACCGAGTTTTGATATTTACATACATATACCATGCAAGTATAGCCAAAAATCTGTTTCGGAAAACTCGCACGAAATGCAGTCCTAGGGATGGAAAAACACACGTACTAATCTATTTTTACCTACACTGCTACAGGTAACTTTCGCAATTACTATTGGAGCATTTGGACATTTCATTAAAGATTTTGGAAACACAGCTGAAGAACTACCATCTCAGCCCGGCATCGATATATTGCAATTGCTTGTAGATCTAGGAGGGGCGGGGAGGCATGAAAATTTTTTTTCTGCGGCCCTCATTGAATTATTCACTGCCATATTGTCATTGGTGATAGCAATTACAAATCTTCAAGAGAAAACCCTCTGGGCTGCAATTGTAAGTAGCTATTTAATATTTCTTGAACAGTGAAAAATTGGTGTTGCTCCACCGTCAAAATAATCTCAACAAGTTCATGCAGGCTTAAGGCTGTTTTCCACCTCAAAAAATTTTCAGTTTTTGTATGAAACTGAATTTGTAACATGTAAAATATCACCAATAGAAAGTGATCCATGAGTTTCCCGCCTGTTGTTGTTTTTTAGCAAAGGGTGGGTTATTAATTTTTGTGCATGACTTTAAGGGTGGGCCATTGATAATTAAGCCTTATTCCAGGGGTGGGCCAAGGGAAAATATACAGCTGAAGATTTGATTTCTCCAGCCCCCACCCCCCTTATACTTTATGACTGGTCCTTTAATAGAATAGATTGTTGGAACTAATAGATTTTATAGACACTCAAACATTACATGTACTGCTTATATAAAGTACTGAGTAGTTAATGCGGACGCTAATATCGCAGGCGCATGTATACGTTCACGTTACGTTTTTTGTTCTGTTGTTTAAACAATAAATTTATATTATTACCTCCGCCAGGAGGTTATGTAATCATCTGGGTTTGTATGTGTGTGTGTGTGTGTGTGTGTATGTGTGTGTATGTGTGTGTGTGTGTGTGTGTGTATGTGTGTGTGTTTGTCTGTGAGCACGATAACTCAAGAAATACCAAACATATTCATACGAAATTTTTTGAATGCATTTCCCATCGGCTAAGGAAGAACTGATTAAAATTTGGTTGAATTTGGTTAAAAATTGAACGAGAAATGATCAAAATTTTGTCTTGCTTTTCCCGGTCAATTAACAAAAATATTACTGAATGCGTAATTAGGACGTGTATAGTTTATGCACGCAGTACTAAGACAATAATGAGATGATAAACCTCATTAAGCTTCGGCCTTCATTATCTATTGTCTTAGTTGCATTTCACGCGACCGAAATTCAATGTCTAAAACAAGGCTTACGGAGTTACGCATTATTACGTTCAGCAAAGTGCCAGTCCATTCAAATTCTAACAACAATTAGATTACTTCAATACAGGGTGTATAAAAAAAACGCAACCTCGGAATTTCCCAAGAAATCGACATTGTTTTAAAGACAAAAGATTTTAGCTGCCTGGGAATTTAAAATAGCACAACTGTGAAAATTACTGCACGCGCGAGTGCATAAAGCAAAATTTATGCATTTATTTAATGACACTTAATAAGTTTTTATTTTACAAGTACTGTACAGTACAACAACAGTAATATGATCTATTAGCAATTCGATTTCAATTCGCGGGGGCCTAAAATCTTTTATGCTTAAGAATTATAAAGTGGATTTCTTAGGAAATTCCAAGGTTGCGTTTCACTTCCGAGTAACGGGCGGAGGTATGCAGTCTCTGAGTGCCCTCTAGTTTCTGCTGTATTTTGGCCGGTATTGCTTCATGAAATCAACAGATTATGGGCCCAGACAACGCGAAACTGTGAAATAGCAAGTGAAGGTATTGTTGTAATATATATTTTTATCGCAATGGCCCAGGAAGACAAGTTATCAATCGATAAACTTGATGGTGCGAAGAATTGGCAAATATGGAAGTATCAGATAACAACAATTTTGGAAGCTAGAGAATTGTTTGGTAATATTGATGGAACACTAACTCGCCCAAGTAGACCGGACCTCGGATCGGACAGCAGTTCTGGGGCAACTGCGTCGTTTGGAAAAGCTCCAAAGAAGACAAAAGCTTTCATAGTTACGTCTATTAAATCGGATCTTATTTACCTTATAACCGAATGCCAAACTCCAAAAGAAATTTGGAATAAGTTAAAGCAACGCTTTGAACGAGATACGATTGTGAACAAATTATTTCTGAAGCAAAGACTTTTCTCCCTAAAAAAACGAAAGAGTCAGATTCTCTTGATGAACACTTGTGAAGGATGAAAGTGATTACTGATCAATTGGCAGCTATCAAAGCACCAATAACAGAGGATGAACATGTAATCGCATTAATATTAAGTCTACCACGTTCATATAACACCTTGGTAACCGCACTAACTGCCAAAGGAGATGAACTAAACCTGAGTCAACTGCATCAAGCATTGTTAAACGAGTAAGAGAAACGCAAGCAAAGTAAGAGTAAAGTCGGTGGTGGTGGTGGTGGTGGAGCTAAGGATTGCGAATCTGCATTGCAAAATAACAAGTTAGATCGAAAGCCTATTAAGTGTTATGGTTGTGGAGATGAAGGTCATGTTGTTCGAAATTGTCCTCAGAAAAAACCCCAAACGAAAACAGTATCGACGAAATGAAAATCAAGGAAAATTTGACAAAACTTCAAAGCACAATGCAGCTCCTGCTCATGGGAACACTGATAAGAATGATGATTCTGACGCTGTTTTTGCTGTTGGACTAAGTGTCATGAAAGGAGACGACCACTGGATTACCGACTCAGGCGCATCTCAACACATGACTTCCAGTCGTGATCTATTGATGAACTATCAAGAGTTTTTGGAGCTAGAACCAGTTGTTCTTGGAGATGGTCGATCTGTGCATGCTTTGGGGACTGGTGAAATATTCATTACTATGCTGCTTGGACATACACTTTGCTGGATCAAAGACTCTCAAGAAAAGGTTGTAGCGAGAGGTCGTCTTGTTGGCAACATGTATCGTCTGGACTGCAGAGTAGAAAGACAAGAAAAACAAGTGTCAGTTGCAGAAAGGTCAAGTGACAAACTAAATCTGTGGCATCATAGGATGGCTCATTTGGACGCTGGCCAAACGAAGACGATGGTTTCAAGAGAGATGGTAACAGGTACCGATATGCCTAGAACCGGGAAGCTGGACTTCTGTGAATTAAGCCTGTGCCGAAGGAAAGTCACATCGAGCACCCTTCAAACCAGTGGGAGAAGTACAATCAAAGAAACGATTACAGCTTGTTCACAGTGATGTCGGTGGACCAATGAAAACCGAAAGTTTTGGTGGTGCCAGGTACTTTGTGACATTCATTGACGATTATTCTAGAGTAACAAATCAAGCAGATTGCAAAATTAAAACTTTACGGATAGACAATGGAGGTGAATATATGTCTGCTAAATTCCAAAATTTCCTCAAAGAAAAAGGTATTCATCACGAGACACATGTACCCCACTCACCACAACAGAATGGTATCGCCGAACGGGTGAACAGGACGCTCCAGGATGCTGCGTTATCAATGATCTTACATGCAGGAGTATCCAAGAGTTTCTGGGCTGAAGCAGTTTGTTCAGCAGCATACATAAGAAACCGAGTTATCACAACAGCAACTGGAGTCACCCCATATGAGCGATGGTACGATAAGAAACCGGATTTTCAAATTTCCATGTTTTTGGTTGCACTGCCTATGCCCATGTACCAGATTCTTCACGTCAAAAGCTTGACCAGAAAGCAGTGAAAATGTGAATCCGTTGGCTATAATTTGACACCGAAAAGGTATCGATTGTACGATGAGAACAAATGTAAAATCTTTATCCGTCGAGATGTTACTGTCAATGAAACTGATTTCGGACATACGAACAGAGTACAATTGGAATTTGAGGAAGAGGATGATAAGTGCTCTAAAGAAGAATCAGATAAGAAATCACCTGATAGTAGATGTTCAGCGCGAGAAAGAAAGCCACCAGTTTATTACCATGATGAATATGCTGGTATCACAACTGCAAAGCATACAGCCCTATTTGTAACAGAAGTTGAAGGGCCGACAACGTTGAAGAGCTCCCGAAAGTGATCATGCGGAAAACTGGAAGATAGCTGCAGATTCTGAACATCAATCTCTAATAGAAAATGAGACCTGGGAGCTTGTCGAACTGCCACCCGGACGAAAGACAATTACCTGCAGATGGGTATTTGAAGTCAAACATGATGAAAGTGGGAAGATCGATTGGTTTAAAGGACGTCTTGTAGCGAAAGGTTTTCTACAAAAGTACGGGATCGAATTTGATGAAACATTTTCACCTGTTGTTCGCTTTACATCTATCCGAGCTCTTTTGGCGTTGCTGTTTCCAGAAATATGTTTATCCATCAAATGGATGTCGTTACCGCTTTCCTAAATGGAACACTCGACGAAGATATCTATTTGGAGCAGCCAGAAGGTTATGTTGTTCCCGGAAAAGAAAATCTTGTGTGCCACCTAAAGATATCTCTCTATGGATTGAAGCAGAGTCCACGATGTTGGAACAAGTCGTTCAAGGAATTCATGATATCCCAAGGATTTGAGCAAAGTGCTACTGATCCGTCTTCGGAAAGTCAATGGTCAACTTGCCATAGTTGCTGTACACGTTTGATGATCTCATCCTCTTAACCGAAACCGAACAAGAAATGATCGACTTGAAGGCCAGTCTCGCAGCTCGTTTCATAATGAAAGACATGGGTAAGCTTCATTACTGTCTTGGAGTAAACATTAAAACGATGGACGGTGTTTTGCAAATGAGCCAAGAGCAGTATATTCACAAGATATTGAACAAGTACAAGTTACAAGATTGTAAACCTGTATCGACGCCGATGGATGTGAATGTGAAACTGGTGAAAAATGATGGTTACAGCAAAGCAGTAGATCCTGTTGAGTACCAATCGATGGTTGGAAGCTTGATTTATGCAGCTATAGCTACTCGCCCCGAGATAGCTCACACACAGTTGGTACTTTAGCAAAGTTTAACTCGTCCCCTAATGAATCACATCTTACTGCTGCCAAACGTGTATTTCGCTACCTGAAGGGAACAGTTAAACTGCATCTCCAGTACGAAGCAAGTGATAAAGATATAGAAGGATATTCCGACGCAGATTGGGCCGCAGATTCATATGATCGAAGATCTACTTCTGCGGGCAACGTATTTGTAATGTCCAATGGTGCCATTAGTTGGGCAAGCCAGAAGCAACATACGGTAGCACTTCCAACAGCTGAAGCCGAATATACCCCCCTTTGCTTAGCAACTCAAGAAAGTGTATGGTTACGACAACTAAGCAAAGATTTGCAAATAAATTGTTCGAGTCCAACCACTATTAACGAGGACAATCAAGGGACAATCGCAATGTCAAAAAATCCTATTTTACACAAGCGCACAAAGCATATCGATATTAAATTTCATACGTTCACGTTACGTTTTGTGTTCTGTCGTTTAAACAATAGATTTATATTATTTCTGCTGTATTTTGGCCAGTATTTCTTCATAAAATCAACATAGATGGTTTAGAAACTTATTAGAATAACAATATAACAATATAACTCATTATCTATGGTAGTCAACGTTTATTCATAAATATAATATATTGCTTCACCGTCACGTGTGTATTGTATTTTTGCCATATCCACAAGTAGCAATTTCTAATTACACGATTGTTCGAGTCACGGATAGGTAACTTTCCTAAAACATTACTATTGGCTAGTGGGGCAAAAATACAATACGCACGTGACGGTGAAAGATCAGATTTATGAATAAACATCGACCAGTAACTTAGATAATGACTTATATTGTTATTCTAAAGAGTTTCCATGCAAACCATCTATTCTATTACTATGGTTATAAATATGCTATGTTTCTTCGATCCAGATGGCCACAGCTCACGTATTTTCAGCATTAATCTTGCTAATCTCCGCATCACTCCTCACGAAAACGATAACGGCATATATGAGTGATGATTCGACTAAAATTGGAATACCGCCTGTATGTAAGACCTTCTCAAGTGACGCACGATGTGATAAGCTGACCATTGCTGTGGTGAGTGCATAAAGATCTCAAACTCATTAATAATTCATGAATAAATTAGCCAAGCGTATTGCTTCATTTTGCTCACATGATAATACTGCATGGATACCTGGTGAAGTATATTGTTTCAGTCCTATATAGGACATGGGATCAAAATTAATTCAGTCCTTGGACTTACTGTTAATTCTGCATTTTCGTTTGTTCCTAGTGGCAGTAGTACGATATTCTTGTATATTGAGTTAAATAGACAAATGTCGTAAAAACTAACCTCTGTCAAATATTAATGAAAATGCAGAATAAGGCAATAACTGAAATCAGGCCAACATTACACTAAATACTTAAACAGAGTTTGTTTTGCAACCAGCGGTAGAAGCAAAGTTGCAAACAATCTACTTTATTATTGATTTTACGATTAAAAGCGTCGCGTACATAATTCACTGTTTACTGTTAAAGTGCACATGACATGAAATTTCTTATTTTCGTGAAGAAAGAACTCTTTAAGTTGTAGTATAACTTATATTTCAGTTTCTTGTTTTCATGGTTTGTTCCCGAGATATTTCAATCTGTTTGATATGTAAATGAATGTGAATATGTCCACAAATTTATGACGTCATGTTGGTTGCAAGCTCAACTTACACTGGCTATAAATGTTTTAACTCTAAAAATTGTTGATATCAGTTCACGTTTTTTTCTAGTGTTTCATCACATTTACCAGTGAGTAAAGTTTGAAATTATCATCTTGGATAATAGCAGTGATATTCAACCATTTTCAAGAGCTTGCAACCAACGTGTCGTCATAAATTAGCGGACATATTCACACTCATTCACATATCAAACAATTGAAATATCTCGGAAACAAACCATAAAAACAAGAAACTAAAAAATAAGTTACACTACAGCTTAAAGAGTTCTTTCATTTAAAAAAATAAGAAATTTCATGTCATATGCACTTTAAAGCCATATTTCAACATGATATGCAAATTACGAGGGAAGTAGAATAAAAATCATTCCGTGATCTCTGGCCATGACTGGTGGAAAGAGTTTTATCTTTTTCTTGAAGCCAAATCTGACCTGCGTGTTTATGCTTTGCGGTTCCCTCGCGTAAACAATCATTAGAAAAAAAATAAGAAAAAAAACAAAAGCAAAGTCTACTAGGACGTTTTACCCGCAAGCATTAATATAATTTATATGGAAAGCTTTGACAAAAGCTTTTTTGTAAATTTTAAGCCTTTAACTTTGGTTTCAAATTTGCGTTTAGAGGTATAGCGTTCCTGCTGTTATATATTCATTTCACCGGGCCATGGAAAATAAATCATCATAAGTTCAATAATCAGACTACTGTATGCTGTATACAGCTAATAACATAGCATGAGCGGAATTTAATATATGAACTAGGTTACCCACAGGGCAGTAATGCTGCCTTTGACAGCAAAAGACAAACTACAGGGTGTTGAACAAGTCCTTCAGAAACATCCTATTATTGTTATCCTTCTTAACCCATTTATTGACAGTACCCTACCACTGACTGAGTATTAAAAATCGTCTGGCATTGGACAGCGTAAATACTAAAGTAGGGGTCATTACTGTGTTGATGAATTAACAAGAGCCATTGGCAGGTTTGTTAACCCATTTACTGGCAGTACCCTATACCACTGACGAGTAAAATGTGGTTAAACATAAGATTTCATGATGCTCCAGGAAATGTAAACAAGCTATCAGTGTGACATCCCAGTTTATATATTTATATACTCGGAATATTGATTTCTCGGTATATACAAAATTATTTTAACTGAGTATAACAACCAGCGAAGACGTAAGCCAATAACTACCCTGCCCGGCTGCACGCAGACTATATATATATATATATATATATATATATATATATATATATATATATATATATATATATATATATATATATATATATATATATATATATGTCATCCGTCCGGTCTGTCCGTCGCCATCCGTCCGTCATTCATCCGTCCGTCAGTATCCGCGTTTTATCCTAACCCGTTTTTAAAACACAAAGTTTGCATAATTAAGGCAGTGCGGTTCGTCATGACACAGTTTATAGACTAAGAGGTCATGATCAACATTTTCAGAAGCGGCCAATTAGACCAGGGGTTAAAGGGCAATGACATGCAAGTGACATTTAACATTGCGTCTCACTAATTAAAATTTGCGTGTTTAATAATGTTTATCAAAGAAAGCAAAAATGTATACAAGACAATCTCACATGTGGAATTTTTTCACTTACGTACTGCCTTGTGATGCAGTACAAGTTTAAATACAAATGACAAAGCATTTGTAAATTCTAAAACATAATTAAAAAATCATACGGCACATTTAAGATTTTAATATCGTATTTCAGCCGCGTTTATACTGTTTGGCGCATTCGCTGCGTTATATTCATTTATACACACAGAAAAGCATGTCATTGTCCATTCAGACCATAGGCAAAAAGCATTTGTCAACCACATACCAAATTTAAGCAATCGTTAAATCATATACATGTCATGGAAAGAATATGGAAATAATGTTGAATGAAAGCTAGCATCGCGTATAATATTAAAAGCACCGCATATAGTGCTCGAACCACTGCGTATATAAATTGCAAAAGCACCGCGTATATAAATGGTGAAAGCACCGCGTATAATGGCGAAAGCATCGTGTATAATGCCGAAAGCACCGCCGTATAATGCTAAAAGCACCCAACAAAATGCCGTTTGATCACTCTAAGCCAGCTATGGCTTTCCATAAAAGAAGACCAAAGATGAAAGATGATCACATCGCCTGTTGCCTTATGCCTACCGCGCTGCACCACGGTTAAAATTCACTGGTACCGTCATGCAATGCGCCAAATAGAAAATTTTGATTTCGACCCACAAAACAAAATTAGGATCTGCTGCCTTGCTCGCTCGCTTCAGGCTCGCTCGCTGCGGCAGCAATAAATTGTTAAATTAAACACGTCCGAAATTATCAATACAATAAATTCCCGACGCATGTTGAGCCCTAACCCTAATCTAACCGCGACTCTAACCCCCGATCTTAATATAATCTTAATGTAATCTAATCTTAATCCGACACTAATCTAAACTTGATGACCTTTTTTTCAATAATTTTATTGGTCGTTGTTTTGCAATTTCAATTAGGGACCGGTCATTAATAATGGGAGGGGAGGGGGAGGTGGCTGATAAATACTAAATATTGAACATTTTTTAGAACCGCCCCCGATCGCAAGACCTTTATTTTTAAGACGCTCCCACCTTCATCTAGAAAATTTAGGACTCCCCTCCCCACTCCAACATTTAATTCGTTACATTTTTAGTGTAAAATAGGTAGTGGGACAAATACTGGTGTAAGACATTGTGTTACCTAAATAATAAGAGGAGCAGTATTCAAAATTATTGTTATTTACTCCTACTCCTGTGAACTGCATATACGTAATAAATTACAGAAACCACGATTATAGAAACTAAAAAAGGCGAATTATTTTGTGGGATACAATTGAGGCGAAAGATTGAAAATGAGTAGGAAAGTATTAAAAAATTGGGATTGCTCCTTGTCACATATTTTCCAGTTTGAGGCCGCCCCCCAATTCAGGCAAAAATTGCTGAAGCCGCCCCTTTCTTAACCCACCGCCCTCCCTCCCATTATTAATGACCGGTCCCTTATGATTTTAAATTAAAAGAATGACTTTAATCAATTTAGCTAATATATCTATACATAGCCAGTGACTGGTATACATAGAGTATCTATGAATGTAAATATTAACAATTTTCTCCACGAAACATTACCCCGAATCTCCCTATAGTAGATTTAGTTTCCTATATCCCACTGCTCCAACGTAAAACGTAATTTAAAAAATCACCGAGTGTGCCAAAATATAGCTGGCAGCCAGCTATATATATAATTGGGGTTTTTTGCTGGGAAATCCTACTCATGCATGTTCTCTTCTTGTACACAGGTATTTGGCTTCTTATCTATGGGGCTGTTGATTGGAGACACCATCATTTACATCTTGATTTTGAAAAAAAACAGAGAATCAGTTCTGCCAGAACCGCGTCTGGACTAAATTGCGAATTGCATTGGTCTAAAGACTAAACTGTTTTTCATACACATCGTTTTCGTAGCTTCTTTTTTTAAGTTAATTTTTTGCGGGTGCTCTATAGTAAATCTCTCATATATTAATAAATTAGTCTATCTTCATTAGTATAGTGTTTTCTCAGAGGTGGTGTACGTATTGCCCATACTTGAAATTTTAAAAATTTTGTCGACACAGTATAGCTACTTTAATAGGCAAATTTTAAAATGCTGAAATTTTTGGCAATAAAGGCAAAATCAGAGTTGCCATCATATACTGTCTTCTTCATTTATGTCTCTACACTAAGAACATGCCATTTTGTAGCTTGTAACAAAAAATGCCGATTTTCAGGTTTTGGCCGGCGTGTACAAGTCACAACAAGAATATGCTCCTCGGTAATGACATGTTCCATTACATGTATTGTCTTCCTCAATATAAGTAAGCCCTCTTCATGCATGATGACTACATGTAACTACAATTACCAGAATTAAGTGTCTAATGATTGAGTAATAACATTGAAAAACTAATACAAACTGTGTTGTACGTTAGATCATAGAAACTTTGAATTTCGTCTGTTATCTATTTTGCAATAAACAGCAATACATTTCGTACTGGGGCCGGTTATTCAAAGCTAGATTGGCGCTAACTGTCGGTTAAATTAAAATTGAACCCGCTGTTATAGTTTATGTAATTCTTTTCACCTGTTTATTTCAAAACTTCAGGGAAGAAAAGTCATACTGATCCAGACAAAATTTACAAAGAAATATTTCCAAACTTATAAACAAGCTGTTAGGAAGTTTGTTTTGAATTTTAAGTTAACCTAGGGTTAATTAAGGTAATTCGGTTTATCAAACAACCGCCTCTGGTCATGTGAGTACATGAAATTTTTATTCATATCCCTAGATATCAACATCATCCGCTGTCCGTCTCTATCCCT